CAAAATCTGCGCCATACGAATGTAGCTGGGTGTGTTGTCTCTCAGAGCGATTTATATTTTGCGAACTCGTCGCTGTCCGCAAGGTTATGCGCCGTGGCGACATTGTAGATTCGCTGCCGCCAGGCCTATTTTTACCAGAATCCCGAGCTTCTCCAGAGTCCGCGCCTTGATCCCTAGCGCCTTCGATTCGAACATGCCTTGCTGTCCCTGTCATCTGGGGCTCCGTTGAAGATGCATCCGATTCTTGTCCTGACTTTGCCGAATAGATACCCTCCCTCTGATCACTGGCCGCTTGTTCAGAGGCTTCCTTCTCATCGCGGAGTGCCTTTAGTGCCTGTCTCGCATCTGGAGGCGAGTAGTCCTTTGAGGACCTCCTTGCGCCTGTAACACTCGCCGCTGATCCAGTATCAAGCCGACCTATGCTCGGCCTTGTCTTTGCACTGGATTTCGTACCAAAGTACCCATCCCCTCCACCTCCAAAGAAGTTCGGGCTATTTGCAGATGGTTTCCTGTCCATAAAAAGACCCACACTTCCCAGATTCCAGAGGGGCGTGCCTGTTGGGGAGCCCTGCACGCTTCTTGACTGGCCAGAGTAGTCGCTTGGGCTTGCAAGGCTGCCAGCTCCTGACGTTTGGAAGGATTCATCCTCTGTTGGCGAGAATTTCCCCGACATTCGTTCATTGGCGGTTACGTTTTGCGCAACCGCGCCAAATCCAGAGTTGTGTGGCCGCCTCCGAGACAATCCCGCGATCTCGTTCTCCAAATTCGTGTAGTGCCTGCAGAGAGAAAAGGACGTTGCCAAATGAGGCGCTAGGTGCGCTAATGAGCGGCGGAAATTTGACGGGTATGGAATAATAGGGCTCAGGATGGATAGAATTGCAATGGGCAACTTCTTTTCTCTTATTGCAGGCTGTGCTTTAGGCGTTGTCTCGGTCTCATATGTTTTGGATGGCTTTCCTCGTCCAGCATACCTTGAATCCATGATGGTGGAATCAAGGCGGAAAGTCTGAACGGACTTCGAGAGCAAGACGTGGTACAGAGGTATATGCAAGACACTACATGACCGATCGATGCCAATAGACTCCAGCTGCTGTGTGCTAGAATAATCCTGAGGGGTTTGTGTTGGGTTAAAGGACTCCTCATCGATTTTGGCATCTGCGAAAAATGGGTTTTCATTCGGATCTGCTCGCACGACAGGAGATGGCGCTGGAGATTGTGACCATGGCGACGGAGGTGCTTGTTCGTGTTCTTCGTATCTGAGGTTCGACAGATCTATTCCCAAATCTTGTGTATACAGCCCCAAACCGGACAGCTTCGTGCCTCCGCTTGCCTGGCCCTTGGCGGTACGGCCAGAGTGCCATGGAGACTTGTGGGTATTCATAGCAGATTGGGATCTTGATAGGGGCCATGGCCTTCCCTTGGAACTTGAGTCACCAATTGACTCGTGCAACTTGGAGCTTCTCAGCGCAGCCTTGCTTGCGTTTAAGTCGGCTTCGTTGCTACCGATGAACGGAAAGTCTCTTGTCAAGGCAATTACTTTGCCTCGCTCCAAAACCCTAGTCACCCCGGCGCTATCAATCAGCGAGTCTGCTTCAAAGTCTAGTGCCTGGAGAACTGGGAACACCCTCCCCTTTGTCTCTCGCGCACTTGTGTCATGGCTTTCCCAAGATGACGGCGGCCTTCTTGCTTCTTCTTCGGCTTGCTGGCCCTCGAGTTCTTGTAGATCTAATTGCACATCGCGGAGGGTTTGCGCACTGTTACCAGCTCCAGCGCGAGGATGTTGGCTTGACGGCCCTCCTAGGTAGCTTTTGCTTCGTGACAGTCGCGGGTAAGGCCTAGATTCGGGTTTTGCAGTGTCTGTGCGAGATTGTGGTCGGCCTTTAGTGTCGTCAATGGTAGTAAATGAATGCCTGGAAGGCAGGCCGGGATGTGTGGCGCCTGCTGGAGGCATGGAAAAAGACCCAGGCTCGTCGGCATTGACGGATTCCGAATTAGAAGTATTATATGTCCCGCCAGTGCTCGGACCCAGACTGCTTCCTCGTGGTAAATATGATAAACTGAACGCATCCTCTTGAGCCGCATTGTATGTTGCTTTTTGCCCCCATGGAACATTTTCTGCATCGGTGGAATCTGCTGGGATCGATAGTGTCACGCGATCGGCTTTGTAGATGTCTCGCATTATCTCAACCACAGAATTCCACCACGGGTCCAATCCGGGCTCTGCAGAAAGAAGTAGGCTTAGGTCGTATAAATTCGGGTTGGGAAAGTTGATGTCCTCCTTTTGGTAATTTTCTTCTGGTGGTTGGAAATTGGAGATTGAGGAGGGTGTTGCTGAACCGGATAATATTTGTTCTCGTGTGTCCATATAAGACCCCCCAAGGTCCCTGCCAGGCACAACAGTCGGCGAAAGTATAGTGAATGGCTTATGTCCACCCAGAAAGCTTGGGGTCTTCATCGGAGGAAAGGGATACGACGGCGTCCGTGTAGCGAAGGGCGCTGGGGTCTCCCCCCGAACGGTCTTAACCGACTCCGTTGAACTTGTCGTCGCATCCATAGGGCTCGCAAACGCGGCGTCGAGCGACGGCGAATTTGCTGTTTCCTCATGGATGGGGGATACTCGAGATTTGCCGCCTGCCTTTTCACCACTTTTCTCTCCTTGCTCCAGCTCCAGCTTCACCAACTTCTCCCGCTTTTGTGTTAGCCTCAGCTGAAAATCCATCGCTTCTCGGAGTCGCTCGAGCTCTTCCTTAGAATTTTTGCCTCCTTTCCCCTGCAGGGGCGGCCTTTCCTTGCCATTTCGCTCTGCGGGTTGTGACGATTTTTTGGGTGCACCGCCTTCCTCTGGTACGGTATCACTGGCTCGGTGTCCAGTCTGCGTGTCGCCGGTCGCGGAAACCTCGTTGCCCTTACTTGTCGTCGCCATGCCAGAGGAAAGGCCCGATGATATCTCTGGCAGCCTCAATATTGGAGCATCCCTCGGGCTACGCTTGGACGAGGACGAGGAATGCGATTCCTTCTTGTCGCTACTCGATCGCCGCGAGTTACTTGGTCGTCGGCAATGGGTGTGCTGCCGTACGCTTGTTGTCCCAGAGGGCGATTGTGGCGTTTTGGGCATGCCACTTCCCCAATCCACCACACTTCAACGGCTTAAGACGAGGAAAAGGACACGCGCCCAATCACGATGGGGGTCGTCGTTGAGGTAGTATTGATGTTGTCTGTGTCGCAAAGATCGCAATTCGTTGGAGGTTCAGGAAATCTGTGGTGTTGGTGGTTTTGGTTTGAAGGTGCCGGGGTGGCTGTGGGCTGGCTTATGACGTCGTCAGGTGCCACCCAGAACAGAATCTGAGGCGAACAGCGGGACCTGAATAAGGGGCAAAAGCGCAGTCACAGCATCCAAGACGCAAGCCCGAGACCGATATCCATACTGTAACCACTGTACCTTTCCCTTAGCCCTCATAGCAGAAATACGCTTCTAATAATAACAAACACAGAATACTCCTAAAATCGTAGTTATGGAAGGCACTGCAGCGTTTTTATATTTCTATCTTGTGGGGAAAAAGCATTGGTTAACGACTTGGTCAGAAGTCTTAGAGCTAGGTCGCCGATCCACGACACGCTACGAGTAGGGGTCATCTAGGGGTGTCGACCCAAACCGCCGACCGTGCGACGGGGGTCGAACGTTACGTGGGAGAGAGGCATTCATGATGAGGGTTCCCAAACAATATTATAATATGATGAGGACAGTGAAGCAAGGGGTAAAAGGTCTCGAAGAGGGCTGCTGTTGGTCCTTTGCACGAACGAACAACAACGACGTCTCTTCTTCGTCAAAATTGTAGTGTAACCCCCACGCCAACGTCACCGAGCACCGGCATGCCCAGCAACATGCCATACTACAGGACCAGCATAACCTGCAAATCGCCCTAGAACCACGCCAGACCCCTTGTTCAGCGGTCAGCTGACAGTCGTGACACCCCCCATCCCGACCAAGTAAATAGCGGCAGAAAAGGCCACCTATCCTCCACCTATCCTCCACCGCAAAGCCGGCCAAGGGCGACTCAGACATCGATCAAGGACGGTACAGTAGTATCTAAACCATCACAGTAATCCTGCGGCTGGGCCCATTCCGTAATCTATATCGTACATCAGCCCCTTGACGCCTTCACCGTGCTCCCAAAAACCACTCAACAACAGCGTTTCTCCAGCCGCCAAGTCTCCCTCACCGCATCCCTGCCCATGACATCAGTGGCTTGACCGCCAAGGCCCTCCCCACAAACGCATAGATCAGCGACGCCAAAAGTGTCGATCGTCACCCCATGCGTCTCCCCCTTGTCCCCTCCCCCCGCCACACTCGCATCACCGCTAAAAACTACACATGGTCACGTGCCATCACACACCGTACTCGCTGCATGACCGTGGTCCTGCACGTTCCTTCAGTAGTTAAAGCAAAGCAGGCTCCAAGTGAACGATGGTCGGGACAACCACGAGAATCCCCACGCCCGTCAAATTAATTCAGGGTTCACCTAACGAACACCACGGCACTATTAACGGACCATAGCATCGTCTCAGGTCCGCTAGCAGAACAATAATCCGCGCTGTGTCCGATGCGGAAAGGCCGCCTCCGGCAGCGCGATGCGGACGACACATCTCAATCTCCGCCTTCGACGGTGCGCATCGCAGAATCGATAATGCCGTGGATCGGATACCGCGTAGGCCGAGCGAGCGACCAGGAGGGCGGAGAGTGGCCAAAGGAAGTGAGGCTACGAGATTGTCGTCGACCCGCGCATCCCCATCCTGCCCCCGTTCCGCCAATTTCTTCGTTGGGTGGTTTAAAGTTGTGCAATCCCGCTTCTAGACGTCGAACGCTTGTGAACGTCCTCATTTCCCTACCCTATCCCCATACGCGTTATCTGTCTGTCGATCGTAACCTCATTTTTCATTTGGGGGTCTTTTAATTACTTATAGCTACGAATTTCCAGCCGGGCCCCGGGGAACCAGCCGTGCCCCGGGGCCCGGCTGGTTCAATCCCGTACGATCGTATTTACAACTTGGCGTCGCTCCCAGCGTTGTCATTTTCGAAGAGGTTCCGGAATGCCACTTCGACTTCGTCTGTCAAGTCGCTAGCCTGGAGGCTGCGGCCGCGTTTAGCGAAGGCGAGGCGGGAGCTCTCCTGAGAAATGTTAGTTAATGCCCGTCTTCTTCATGCTCAGTGGCAGCAAAAACCACCATCAAACAGCTAGAGAACAGGCAACCTTCCCCACAAGGCCCCAACAACAAAAGTAGAAGACTAACTCACCCTCGTAACACAGCTTCCCCCAAACGCCGCCAACTGCAACAACTCCCTCGCATCCAACTCCCCATCATGCTCCCACAACCCCTCCAAATACGTCTTCCGCCACCCCAAAAACGTCGCAATACTCCCCGTCAACGTATCCCCCTGCCCACCACTCCTCTTCAACCCCCCCTCAAGTCCCCCACCACCGTCCTCTCCCCATCACTAATCCAATCCCTCGCCCCCTTCCGCAGCACCGTCACCCCGCCAAACTTCCGCGCCAGCGCTGCGGCACCTTCGCCCTCCCCTTTGAAGCTGCCCGGGTCAATCACCTGCGCCTTGCAGAGGCGCGCGAACTCGGCGGCGTTGGGGGTGAGTATGCACTCGCGGTATCCGTGTACGAGCTCTGGTCGGTTCTGTGCCAGTAGCAGTCCATCCGCGTCGAGCACAAGCGGGATTCCGGATTTGCGCGCCTCGCTGATGACAGACGCGCACACATCTTGCATCAGCTCATCGCGGCCCAGCCCCGGGCCGATAACGAGGACGTGGAAGCGGGGGAGGAGGTCGATGATGGATTTGGAGAGGGAGGAGGATGTTTCGCTGGCGGTGGCGTGCCGGGATTGACGCAGGAGGGGGTGTACCATTAGGTTTGGGGAGTAGGTTTTGATTACTTGCGCGGCTTGGGGCTCGCAGATGACGTGTGACTGGAGGGGGGTTAGGCTTGTGGTTTATTGAGGGGGGAAGGGGAGGGAGGGCAAACCAAGTCGGCGCCGAGGCGGGCGCTGGCCATGGCGGAGAAGTAGGGTGCGCCGGTGTAATCCTCGCTGCCGCCTATGACTGCAATCCTACCCATCTGTCCTACCGTGTGTCAGCTTCGCTCTACCAACCATCTTTCCATCTTTACTTCCCCCATTAAATTGTAACAGCCCCAAACACACCTTTATGGAATTTCTCCAGCATCGGCGGGACCATCTTCCGCGCCTTACACAGCAATTCTCGAGTAGCCTGCGACATCTTGGAGTCGCTCGACATGCTACCCGCTGAGTCGGTTTCTTTCCCCTTCCCTGCTGCTGCCCCTTTTGGTGGAACGTCGAAGCCGGAGGCGGGGACGATGGGGATGTGGTGTCTGTTTAGTGGGGGGTAGGCGACGGGTCTTGGCGCGGAGCCGGTGGGAAGGACGATATGGTGGTGGAGTCTGGTGTGTGTCAGTGGGCTGGAGGTTTGAGATGGGGATGTGGGGGTACTGGTTGTTGTTTGAGTTGTTTTGGGGGGTGGAATTGTCGGTGGGCTGCGCGTATAGACTTGGTGGATTGGGCATTGCTACGATTGTATCGAGGATGTTGAGTGGTGAGGAGCTGTGGTCCAGGATTCATATGTAGTGACATGATGTCACCACGGCGGGTAAGCTTGACATCACACTAACTATAGCTTTAATTTGGAGCCTATCGATTTATTTTTATAACGGTACAGTCCACTCTCGCCAAGACGATGTCGGATTAGTCGATAACACCGCTAAGTCGATATTTTTTTCAGCACCAATTGATTTTCGCACTCAATTCTCGATATTCGCGATATTGACCTTCTGACAGGGTTAGCACAAATAATCATAATAATAATGACTATTGGAATAGTCAAATATTACATAAGCATGATTATTCATGACGAGTATTGTGACCGGCGCCGTGGGCGCCGGTTTGTAAGCAGCCTGCCGTGAAGCCATGAAAGCACATGATTGGGTGTTGGTCACGTGACCCCAACGCGTCAAACGTGAATATTTCCACAACCCCCCACCAACCTCACTTTCCTTCTTCTTCAACAACGCGATGGCCACCACCACCACCCCCACCACCGAGGCTTCTGGCCTCAAAGCTGTAAGGATGCCTCCGCCCTCAGTGACAGAAGGGATCGGAGTCGGACAGGTTACGGTCACGTGGGGAGAGTTAGGGCCGGTTAGCCGAGTCGGACCCGTTTCGGGTACTTAAGGAGATTGACCCAACGGGGGTTCCTCTCTTCATCTTTTTTGTATCCTTCGTAGTAGACCTATAGGATAGCATCCATTTAGCCTCCGACTCGCACTCTCATATGCTATTACTGTGAGCTGGGTGCCCTGTGTCCTTACAAAAGCCACTGGTAAGTTCAATTCCTTCCTTTTCCTTTGTTTTGTTTGATTGATTACTGTATACTAACCTTCAGATAAAAGATCTGGCTACCGTCGCCCCCGCCAACACCCTCACCACCACCATGACTGAAGCTGGCGCCGCACCAACGGCAACCGGTAAGTAACACCCCTCCCTCCGATCAATTGATAGATAGATGCTAACAACTGGATAGACGAAGCTGCCTCCGAGTCGACTGTCCTGACACCAACCTCCGCCGCTACGGATACGACCTCGACTGCACCGACCGAAACACCGACCAGTAAGTAACACCCCTCCCCCCGCACGATCGATAGATAGATACTAACAACTCGATAGGTGATGAGCCCTCTGTGCCGCCAAAGCCTCCGATGACCACCCCAACGTCGCCGCCACCCGACCCTGTGTCGTCTCCAGTGCGACCCTCGACAGCGCCAGAACTTGCGGCCCGCCCGTCGCCCGCAACACCGGCACGCCCGGCTGCGGCCGTAAGAAGTAAGTAACACCCCTCCCCAGCAAGATAGATAGATACTAACAACTGGATAGGTTTACTGCGTCCAATCGTCCTCGACTCTCCAACCCAAGGCCAGCAGATGGCACTGCAGCTGCTGCACTCTGGCTTGTTAGAGGAACCCCGCCACTCCCACACCCTTGCCGGCCTCATCACCCTCCCCGATGCCCAACATTTGGAATTTCGCGCCCTCGACTCCAACGACCCTCCCAATTTGTTGACGATGCAAAACCTCGAAGCAGCAGTTGGGTATACAGTTGGGGAGCTGGTGCAGCCACAGTGCAGCAGCTGTGCAGCTGGTTACGGCCACTTCTCCGAGTGCATCCGCGTGGGGGGGATATTTTGGTGGTAGTTGTGAGGACTGCCACTTCGTGTTACGGCTACAGTAACATGACATCATGGTTACAGGGCCAGGGCCTAGTAACGTGACATGTGAGTCACAGGGGGAAGCGGGGTAGGCTGCCATGTGACGGGGCTAATGGATAGTTGCAGAAACTAGTGGATATTGGATAGTTGAGCTATCCACGAACTATCCTGAATATCTAGCTATCCGCCAACTATCCAGATTACCCATGAGGCATGACGCCACTATATAAGTAGATAGTATTTCCTTAGATAGGAGCTTCGTGCTCAACTCAATATAGTATTCTTTACAATACTGTAACGTGTTACTTGGAAAGCCTTTGTGTCTAATCCCCTGCCTCCTCTGTCAAGTCAACCTTACGCAAGAAACCTCTGTGTCTTCTATCATTTAGAAGTCAGCGTTACAGTTCCAGCTGTCTTCCAACAATCGATTCTGTATTGTTGTTGCTGGTAGTCATCGTTGTAGTGAATGTACTCGTCGCAATTCCAAATGCAACGCTTGCGCCCCTTCTCCAACTGATTGGGAGAAGCTTCGAAAAGAAGAAGAGCGTCTTGAGGTAGAAGAGGAAGCGGCGGCATCTCAGGAGCGAGAGGCTCACCTCTGCGCTCAAGAAGCATATGCCCGTCGCATGCGTCTTCGCAAACAGCAGAAGGCTCTCAAAACCTGTGGTGTTGAGATGCTGCGTCGTGGTCTGAAATCTTTGGACGAATTGGATGAAGCAGAGGAGAAGGAGTGTAGGGAGGCAGAGGTCAAAGGGACTCTCTTGCACAGCCCTTCTACTGCCGTTTCCGAGGGTGCTGCCCCTGACCAGGACCTTTTCGTGGCCCTGTCTCCTGGCTTCTTTGATCGCTTGGGTGTCGACGGCGAAACGCCTCCAGTAACTCTGGACAGCTAAGGTTTCTGACCATTTCCCATGAATTGTCCGTAGGTTCATAACCTTTCCATTTTATCAAAAACTCCTCTTTGCGTCCTACTAACCTTCTGTCTAGGATTGCTTCGACTTCGTATTCAACAATCTCATTCTCTGGTTGAAGTTCTGTATCGGTCGCAATTGGGGTGCTTCCTCTTGCTGGTTCCAGTAGTGAGACATGAAATACCGGGTGTAGTCTAGACTTCTTGGGTAGCTGCAGTCTGTAATTAACTGAGCTGACTTTGTTCAATATTTTGAATGGTCCCAATTTCTTGAAGTCCAATTTTGTACTTGGTCGTTTCGTTTTGATGTGTTTCCAGAGTAGATATACTTTATCACCCTCCTTGAAGGCAGGTTCCATACTGCGCTTCTTGTTTGCATATGCGGCAGATCGTTCATTTAAGAATTGGATGTCTGTCGCGAGTTGTTCATGGAATGATTTGAGTTGTTCCACAGCGATCATAGCTTGTTCTGCTCTTGATTCATCCGGTCGTGGTTGTCTATATGCCTCTGGCTGATAGCCGTAATTGGCAAAGACGGTGAGACTTTTGTTGCTTCGGTCATCGCGCTGTTATATGCGAACTGTGCCATGGGTAATATCTGAACCCAATTGTCTTGTTGGTGGTTGACATAACTCCGTAGATATTGTTCAAGGGTTTGATTCAGTCTTTCTGTTTGACCAACTGTTTGGGGATGGAAAGCTGTTGATAGCTTATGATTTGTTCCCAAAAGTGCCATTAAAGATTTCCAAAATTTCGAAGTAAAAAGCTTGTCTCTGTCTGAGATGATTTCTTCCGGTAATCCGTGATCGGCTAATATGACTCGAAGGAAGGTGTATGCGAGTGCTTCAGCATCGCTAGCTTCTAAATGTGGCACAAATATTCCATATTTTGTGAGTCTTTCCATAATAACCAGGATAGCGTCAAATATGTTGAGATCAGTGGTGTATCTGTATCTGCAGCGGCATAGTTATCACGTTGAGTTGAACAACAGTTCACTTGAATATATGTTTTGTATTGTTGTTCTGAGTGAAGCTATCTACGGAACTATTTGTGGGTGGTCCGCAACCCGATTCGGTTGGCGAGCCACACGCCTAACCAATCAGTCTGAGCAACCTCCTCCTTCAACACACCCCTTTGCATGACTGAATTGAGGCCATTCCCATTTCCTAGGCCGTGATCACCTTCATCTGAAGCTGCTGTATGAACTTCTCATGTTGTGTGGCGGGTAGCGGCTTGGTCAATCCATCTGCTACCATGTTGGCTGTTTCCACATACCAGAGGTCAATTGACCCATTTTCAATGTGCTCCCGAATGAAGTGGTGCTTGACATCGATATGCTTGGTTCTCTGGTGGAATTTGGGGTTTTCGGCCAAGCTCAATGAGCCTTGGTTGTCTCCATAGATCTTCGTAGCTTGAATGTCATTTCCTGTGTACATCATCTGCTTCATGATCTGTTGTAGCCATATGTAACGCTGACTTCTAAACGATAGAAGACACAGAGGTTCTCTTGCGTAAAGGTTTACTTATCAGAGGAGGCAGGGGATCAGACACAAAGGCTTCAAGTAACACGTTACTAGTATATAACAAATACTGTATTGAGTTGAGCACGAAGCTCCTATCTAAGGAAATACTATCTACTTATATAGTGGCGTCATGCCTAGTGGACTCTTGGGAACTCACTCGAGTCCTCGGAGTCCTGGACTCTTAGGACTCTTCTCATCATCCTGCGAGTCCATCACGTGCCTAGTGGACTCCTGGGAACTCACTCGAGTCCTCGGAGTCCTGGACTCTTAGGACTCTTCTCATCATCCTGCGAGTCCGTCACGTGATACTTTCGGAACTACTATTCCCCGCTGCCCTTCCAGGTACCAGGGCCGGTCTCATGCGACCTCCCTCCTTCCTGTCCTGTAGTTGGCCAGCCTTCTTGTTCCGTCGTAACACCATAGTGCTTCTGACACCGCCTTTGCGAGTGCGTAGTACTCTGCTTCTGTGGTCGATTGTGCCACGGTCTGTTGTCGCTTTGAAGTGTGTGAAATCACACCTCCGGCGAAGAAGAAGGCATTTCCAAGGACCGATTTACGGTTTGCTTTATCGCTTGCATAGTCTGAGTCACAGTATCCATGGAGCTGCATATCGCCTTGCATGCCATATTCGATTCCAAGCATCTTTGTGCCTTGTAAGTAGTGAAGGATTCGATCTGCTGCTTTCATGTGAGCTGGCGAAGGATTAGTGAGGAATCTGGACAGAACAGAGACTCCATATGAGATATCTGGTCGAGTCTGGACAGCGAGGTACATGAGCGATCCAATCTTCGATCCATAGAGTTCAATTTCTGCGTGTGAAGCCTTGCCTTTAAATGGGATCATGACTTCTGCAGCTCCTGTAGCCACAGGTGTGTCCACTGCCTTGCAATTCTCCATGCCATAGCGGTGCAGAATCTTTGTGATGTATGCGTCTTGACAGAGGGAAATTGTTCCTGCCTCTCTGTTGCGTGTGATCCTCACCCCTACAAAGTATGCTGCTGGCCCAAGGTCTTCAATTTCGAATTTTCGCATCAGCTCCTTCTTCAGCCCTTGGATTGTTGTGATTTGTTTGCTAATGATCAGCATATCATCCACATATGTGACGATGAGGATTCCTGTCTTCTGATTGCAATAAACGCTGTAATCGCTTGCGCATGCAGTGAATCCAAGTCCATGAAGTGCCTTTGCAAGCTCTCTTTGCCAAAGTCGAGGTGCTTGCTTCAATCCGTAAAGTGCTTTCTGTAGATGGCACATCCAATTTGGCGCATTTTCCAGTATGCTGCCATTGACTTCCCAGTCTGGTGGAACATCCATGAAGATTTCTGTGTCCGTATCAGAATTGAGGAAGGCTCCAACCACATCCACTTGCTCAATTTCAAGTCCGAAAAATGCTGCGATTGCGATTACGAGTTTCCATGTTGTTGTCTTGCACACTCCAGCATATGTCTGATCAAAATCAGTTCCCTGTTTCTGTCTAAAACCTTTTGCAACCCATCTCGCTTTGCGCTTCATGATAGAGCCATTCTTGTCTCTCTTGGTTTTGAGGACTAGCTTTCCTGGTAGCACTTTCGCGTGTGATGGTAGTTGAGTTCGCTGCATAAGCTTCCAAGTGCCCTTGTGTTTGAGGTTTCAGTATTCCTTTTGGATGGCGGCTTGCCATTCTGGCCAGTCTGCTTGCTGCTTTGCTTCTTCAATTGTATTTGGATCATCGTAGATAGATGTATGTGCTCCAGCTGTGAATGCTGCAATGAATGCTGAGCTCGAATTCTGGTTCTGTGACTGTTGAGTGAGCTTCATAGCTTGCGGTGGCTGTTGTGGTTGATATGGCTGTTGTGGTCGCTCGCGGGTTTGGTTGCGGGTGACCCTGTTGAACTCAGGTTTTGGGATATAAACCTTTCGAGTTCTCCTCGCTGTGATAGTGGGCATCAGCTCTATATCCTCATCATCGACTTCTGAGTATTGATCCAACTCATGAAGTTCTAGTTCCTGAGGTGAGTTTTCGGATTCTGAGATCTCGCTCTCATTTTCGATTTCTGAGTGATGCTCTTCATGCTGTGTTTTAGAGACTCGTTGAATTAGATCTCTGTCATAATTTGCCTCACCCCTGGCTCTATGAGGCAGTGTGATAGATGCATCTTCGTTATCGCTTTCAATTTCATCCTCATCTGGGAATGGCTTCGTAATGAGTCCTCCTTCGTCGAATCGGACATTTGAGGATCGCACTATGCGATTTTCGAGTGGTCCTCTTCGAGTAGGCACATAGATTTTAAAGATATGTGTGCCTTCATATCCAACAAGAATTCCAACTTCTGCCCGTTCTGTAACCTTTGCACTTGTGACCCTCTTTTCCTTTGGGATTTGTACATAAGTCTTGCATCCAAGCACTCGAAAATGTGCTACAGATGGGCGGTTGTCTTGTCCAGGATGAAGGTTGTCTGTTAAAGCTTCGTATGGCATCTTGCCTTTCAACTTTGAAGTTGCTGTGCGGTTGGTAATAAGTACAATTGACTCAAGTATGAGAGGCCAGAGGAACTGTGGAATAGCCATGTCGATCATCGCAGTCCGCGTACGCTCGCAGATAATGCCAATTGACCGCTCTGATGTGCCATCCTGCTCTGGGTTGTAAGGAGTTGTCATTTCGACGATTTGCCCAAGTTCTTCTGCAAGTTCAGTGAGCTTCTTTGGACTGTATTCCTTTCCTCCATCCATTCTCCATTTCTTGATGATCTTGCCAAATTGTGTGTTGACCATCTTCTGATATTTGATGAGTGCATCATATGCCTCATTCTTCGCGCGATGAAAGTATGCCCATCGAACAGTTGTTGCCTTTTCTGTAAAAATAGTTGCATATTTCTTCT